AATGCTTTATAGTCTACAGAACATTTTATGTGGAACAATTTGTTTATGTGGTTGTTAGGTGCCATTGAGTTGGTTTTGGTTTTTTTAGGTGCCATTAAGTTGGTTCTGATGCATAGCAACCCTATGGACAAGAGAACCAAGTACTGCCAATCTTGTGTCATCCATATACATTCTAAAACTTTTACTGATGGGATGGATGATCAATACATTCCCCTTCCCAACTTTTTATTTTGGAAAATTTCAAACCCATAGAATAGTGACAAAAATAGTACATTGGACATTCTTACTCTTTACCTCGATTGTTAACATTTTACTGATTGGTGTATATATATATATATATATATATATACATATATATATATATAGTCTAATTAGAGAGAGAGAGGTTCAAATTGCTGAATAATTTGGGAGCAGCATGACATTTCACTTTTAAATAATTTGATATTATCCCTTAAGAAAAAGGCCATTCTTCCATGTGACCACAGTACAATGATCACGCTCAGGAACTACCATAGAGGCAATGATGCTGGTGTCTAAATCTATTTTATTCAAATTCATATTTGAATTTCCATATTCAAATTTAGGGTTCAATGATTTTGAACCAATGAATGATGCTCAAGGTCGGCCCTATAGACAGACCTGCACTCACTGGGTGGCATTTCCTGTCTTGGGTGCTAGCTCTACTGGTGCCATTTCATGACCCATTGTGTCATTACCTCCAGATCTTGGCATTTTATGCCTGCCAGACCGCTCAGGCTTCAACAGTTGTTCTTAAGCCTTGGTTGCAAGTCCCACAGCTGCTGCTGTTTCCCAGGGGTTTTTGTCTTCTCTGTTTGGACTTTGATCTTGTCCCAGCACGTCTGCCGTTGACCTCTCTATCTGAAAGGAATTTAATTTCTTCAGCAGTCATGCTGTGATAGTGGGTAACTGGTTTCTAGTTTGTGACTTCCATAGGCATTTGACTGAGGCTCCTTCGTTCTGTGAGGTTCCACAGTACGGTATAAGTCTATTGGACATCCAAATCACAAGCATTCACTTCTCCTCCACGTCATGTCATGATTCCAATCATGGGATCATTTCCACAGTTCTTCTGGCTTTCTAGGGGTATTGTAAGAAACTTCAGAGTTTCTATCAGGTCAGCTTGTGCTCTTGTGCCATAATTCTGATACTTAGATCTTCCAGAGAAGATCTAAGCTCAAGATGAGGTAAAGATCTTAATCTCCAACAGTACCTTGAAATGTAGCCTGTATTACTCATAGCCATCTTAAAACCCTCTATAAATAATCAGGAGTGCAGAAACTACATGGTAGTCGTTAGCTTTACTAGTTTTACTCAAAGCCAAAACAACAACAAAAACAGAGGGATCTCAATGATTAGAATAACCATTTAAAATATCTTAAAATCTTTTTTTCTTTTTCTTTCTCATTACGTTGCTTACATTACCCCTCTGCCTCCCAAAATCATGTCTTCACTCTTCCAAGTTTCTTCAAAACACGTTTCCTGCAGCCTAGTTAGCCTAGTCTCTCTGGACTTCTTTGTCTTTCTCCCCACTTCTTCCCAGCTCTTGATCATGTAGATAAATTTGGCTTCTCTGGCTTTCCTCAGTCTTGACAAGTCACCCCTGCTACACAGATTCTACTCTAGAATAAATGCTGTGAGGATGGAGCCAAGAGGTATCAGGAAAGGGAGATCTCAAACACTCATTATTTGCTGTCTTTATTACTTTCCAATTTTTAAATGATTATCAACAAAATTAAAGCACAAAATTATGCTTTTTTCTTTATGCATATGCCTGTAGGCTTTGTCTGAACTGTTAAGTTCAGAGCTGAATTTAGAGCTTTGCTGGCCTTTGCTCTCAGTTGTCCATTCCGTATTTACTTATTTATTTGCATAGAGAAAACACTCCAAAGTAATTTATTTTGGTGCTGTTTAAAGCTTCTTTCTAAATGCACCTTCTTTCAAATAACAGCTTTATGGAGACATAATTCACATACCATAAAACTCACCCTTTTAAAGCATACAATTGTGTGGTTTTTAGTATAGTCGCAGAGTTGTGCAACCATTATGACTATCTAATTTTGAGCATTTCCCTCACTGTACAAGAAAGTCCCATACCCATTAGTGGTCTCTCTACCCTCCCCTTCTGCCACCAGCCCCTGACAATTACTAATCTATTTTCTGTTTCTGTTGATTTGCTTTTTCTAGACCTCTCATAGAAATGCAACAATATGCTGTCCTTTTTTTTTTTTTTAAATGGCTTCTTTCACTTATTATAATGTTTTCAATGTTCATCCATGTGGTACCATGGATCACATGGATCAGTACTTCTTTCCTTTTCATGGCTGGGTAGTATTCCATTTTATGGATAGACCACATTTTGTTCATCCATTCATTAATTGATGGACATGGCATTGTTTCTACTTTTTGGCTACTATGTATCATACTCCTATGAACATTTGTGTAAAGAAATTTTTAAAAAAATTTGTGGAAGAATATATATAACACAATATCTTAGGCTGGTTTCCCTAGGGGAGCAAACCAGTGAAGTATATAAATATAAATATAAAAAAGAATAAATAAATATATCTATATCTATCTATCGATCTATCTCTCTATCTCTCTATATATAGATGTATAGAAAAAGAGTGAGAGAAAGAAAGGGAGATTTCAAAGAAATGACTCATACAGTTCTGGAGGCTGGCAAGTCCTAAATATGTGGGTTAGAAGTCAGGCTAGAGATTTCTCCTGACTCATGCGGTTGCAAGTGTCAATGAACCCAACCAAAATCAGCGGGTTGGATGGCAGGCTGCTGGCTCATGGGGATGTGGGAGCTGGTGAATCCCAAAATCTGTAGGTCAAATGGCAGGCTGCTGGCTCACGTCCCAAGAACTGTGGGTCAGAGGATGATGACTTGGATGCAGAATCAAGATAGAGCAGGCTTTAGCCAGACATCTATATATGTTGGATGCAGAGCACACCCACAAGGAAACTCCCCTTTCAACAGATTGGCTGCTCACATCAGATCACAAAATCGAGGATGATTATATAATATCTGCCAAACCACTGAGAGTCATGCCCAGTCAAGCTGACATGTAACCTTGACCATCACACACAACATTTGCTTATTCAACACTCTTCCCATATACAATTCAGTGACATCAATTACATTTATCATGTTGTGCAACCATCACCAGAATCCTTTGCCAAATTTTCCATCACTGTTAGGAGATGATCAGTGTTTCCTAAACAATGACACCTCCTCTCCCCCTCCCTCCTATGCTAGTAACCACTAATAAGCTTTGGTCTCTATATATTTGCCTATTCTAGATATTTCATATAAGCAGATTAATACAATGTTTGTCCTTTTGTGACTGACTGACTTTACTTAGCACAATGTTTTCAAGGTTCATCCATTCTGTAGCAGGAGTCAGGACTCCATTGCTCTGTATGGCTGAGTAATATTCCATTATATGTATACACCACATTTTGTCTATTCCTTCATTGTTGATAGCACATTTAGGTTGTTTCCATTTTTTGGCTGTTGTGAATAGTACTGCAATGAACACTGGTGTATGTATGTGTAGGCTTTTATGTGGATATTACTTTAAATTCTCTTGCAGATATATCCAGGAGTAGAATTACTGGGTCATATGGTAACTCTACGTTTAACATTTTGAAAATTGGCAAACTGCTTTCCATGCATCTGCACCATTTTACATTCCTACCAGCAGGGTATGAGGATTCCAATTTCTCCATATCCTCACCAACCCTTTTTATTATCTGTCTTTTTGATTAGAGCCATCCTAGTGGGTAGGAAGGAGCTCTGGCAGCATAGTGCCTAAGGCACTTGACTGCTAACCAGAAGGCTGGCGGTTCAAACCCATCAGCCACTCCTCAGAAGGAAGATGGGGCAATCTACTTCCATAGTGATACTGCCTCAGAAACCCAAGGAGGGTTTGCTATGAGTCGGTGCTGACTTGACAGCACATAACAACAATAAGTGGATAGGAAATGACAGCTCATCCATATTTATTCATAGCTGTCTTGTTTTAAAACTTTGTCTAATTATGCAAAACTACTTCAAAAGAAGCTACCTCAATATCCTTTTTGTAAGCAGATATGGTATAATCTTAAACAATCATCTAATAAATGAAATGTACCCCATGTTCCAGGATATTCCATGTTGTTGTTGTTGTTGTTATGTGCCGTCGAGTCGACCCCGACTCATAGCGACCCCTCCTTGGGTTTCCAAGGCAGTATCACTACGAAGTAGGATTGCCCAACCTTCCTTCCGAGGAGTGGCTAGTGGGTTTGAATCGCCAGCCTTCTGGTTAGCAGTCAAGTGCTTTAGCCACTATGCTATGCTACCAGAGCTTCCATAGTTTGGCTTTAAGATACTGGGACAGCTTCTTAGAGGGGCCGCCCTCACTTGCCCTATCTTGCAGTGGAACTCTGTTGCCACTCTCAGGTTGATGACTCAAGTCTACTCAAAAGTTCCTTGGAAGAAAGGCCTGGTGAGCTATTTCTGAAAAATCAGCCATTGAAAACCCCGTGGAGCACAGTTGTGCCATGTGGGATTGCCAAGAATCAGAATGGATTCTACCACAACTGGCTACTGGTTAATGTTTATGCACCAAGGATGACTCATTGGTGAAGGAAGAAAGTTCAAATGGCTTGTGCTTACGGAGCTCATGAGACTGTGTATGTACATATCAGCAGACTTCATCTTACTATCCAATCCCAGAATCATGCTGTCTTCCATGTTATCTATTGATTTGCCAAACGATGATACTCCAGTATGTTGTTTATAAACGATTATGGTCTTAAAACATGTTTGTCCAGCACACATGCTTAGCAAAGTCTTGTAATTGTTTGGGGTGAGTTCCATTCCTTGTTCATAAAAATGTTAAGTGAATTTCATTGACTTCTGATTTGTTGTGCTTATACAGTTTTCCTAAATAAATATGTAAGAAATCATTAGCATGTTTTTGGCTTCTTAGATTAAAACTTTGGAACAGAGCAAAGCCATTGAAGACCTAAATAAATCCAGAGACAAAGTGGAGAAGATGAAGGAGAAGGCTGAGAAGGAGCTCCTGTCAGTCAAGGCAGAACTTGACACCACAAAACAGGAGGCGAGGGAGCATAAAGAGAGGACCCAAAACACGATGGAAGTGATAACCAGTGAAATGAAGACCCTAAAAAAATCTCTGGAAGAGGCAGAAAAGAGAGAGAAGCAGGTGGGTTTAAATATGATGGCAAAACTTTCTCATTTGGGAAATGTCAGGACACTTGAACAGTGTTACAGTTATTCCTTCATGTCTTCAGAAACGATTTACAAAGTTTTCTGTATGATCTCAGCTCATCTACTTGTCTCCTGGTATCTTTATGGCATTTCAAATGACCACTATGATTTACTCTACTGAGAAAAATAATTCACGTTTCATGTCATGAGTTACAGAAAAGGAAAAAGATATTCTTATATGAGCAGTGGAAAGCCTGTAAAAAGCCAGGGTCTGGCTGTGGTGAGGTTTTGATGATGTTTGGTGGTTGTCTCCAAAGCTTGCCTCATCCCAGATCTTCTAAGGTTAACCAGGACTTCAGAGTAGGGAGACGAGCCTTATCTCAAGCTGAAATCTGTTGCAGGAAATAGCCCCAAATCTCAAACAGTGGCACCCAGACACGATGGCCGAGCAGGTGCAGATGTAAAGCCGTAAAGCAGCATTCGTTGTCGGCTGGCTGCTCTCAAGTCAGAGCTGTTATCTGGGGAGTCCATCAGGAGGTCAAGAACATAAAGAACCGTCCGGGCAGCTTGACCCCGTCGTTTCTGGCTTTCATCTCTTTCTTTCTGAAGCTCAGAGGGCGTAGAGTGGACTCTGATCCCAGGATCTTTTTTCTCCTTGGCTGCCTCTGCTTTGGCTCACGTGTCAGACAGAGTTGGGCAAAGCTGCACTGCAAGAGTGAGTGTGCTCAGAAAGAAAGCCTCTCAGGAATTAAAAGCTTTGGTCATAGTCAAAAGGGTAGAAAGTTTGAGGGACACTTTTTCATCAGTGAGGCAAGTCTGGAGAGAGTGTGATGGTTCCCCAATTAGCCTCTGTGTGGGAAGGAGGTTGGGTAGTGAATGAGCTGGGGTGGGAGGGTTGGATGGTGGCTCTCCTGGGCATCTCTAGACTGTGTCACCTTTTCTAAAATGGAAGATACCTTAGCAGGGTGTTGCCAGATATCCCTGCTTTCTCTGCTTCTGCTTTAACCTAGAATCAAATCACAGAAACTAGCTCATGAGAATTCAAAGACGTTTGAGGCATATTTCAGCCATTGTCCTCAGCTGCCATTTTCCCCCCTATTTTAATGGATAAATACTGTTGTTAGGTGCTGCCCAGTTGGCCTCCAACTCATGGTGACCCCATGCACAATGGGATCAGACTGTTGTGATCCATAGGGGTGTCACTCCTGGTTTTTCAGAAGTAGGTCACCAGGCCTTTCTTCATAGTTTGTCTTAGTCTGGAAGCTCTGCTGAAACCCCTTCAGCATCCTAGTGGCACACAGACTTCTAGCCTCAGAGTAATCTGATGTTGTGGGTGGGGAAGTGGCAATCTGTGCATATCACTGGATGATTGAGAAGTCCTCTTGTTCTCATCAGCTTATACTTTCTTGCCTGGAAGGAAGGTTGGGCAATCTACTTCTGCAGTGATACTGCCTTGGAAACCCAAGGAGGGATCGCTATGAGTTGGGTTCAGCTCGATGGCACATAACAACAACAACAACAACATACTCTCTTGCCATTTGTTCTGCCTTTAGTTGAAGAGGTTCATTGTCCGGTTACCATTCCAATGCATAAAGCTCACTCTCCACTGGGACTGCCACCATTTGCATAGCACGTCCTCGTGTGCAGAGCACATGCACAGTCTTCATGTCCTCTGATCTGAATCTTACAGCCCCATGAGATAGGGATATGGTTATTCCCACCCTGTCTGAGACTCATTCATAGTTGTTTAACTGTGATTCTTGACTTGGGGGCCAATACTACATTAACTGGATAATCAGAAAGGTGGTGATGAGATCACAGAAGACTGAAACCTAAAGAGTCTCCAGAGATAATTCGTTGTTGTTTTTATGTGCCATGGAGTTGGATCCGACTCACAGCGCCCCCTCCCTGGGTTTCCAAGGCAGTATCACTACAGCAGTAGATTGCCTAACCTGCCTTCCGAGGAGTGGCTGGTGGGTTTGAACCACCAACCTTTTGGTTAGCAGTCAAGTGCTTTAGGCACTACGCTACCAGAGCTCCTCAGAGATAATTTAGTAGCATCAAAATGAGAGAACTAATACTAATGAAGGTAGGTAATTTGACTACTTGAGTCCCTGGGTGGTACAGATGATTAAGTGGCTATTAAAAAAAAGGTTGGTTGTTGGAATCCACCAGAGGCACCTTGGAAGAAAGACCTGGTGATCTACTTCTAAAAGATGACAGCCAATCAAAACCTTATGGAAAACTGACACACATGAGGTTGCTGTGAGTTGGAATTGACTCCATGGCAACTGATTGGTTAATTTGCTTACCTTATGCAACCTGAGTTATTTTTTGTTGTTGCATTTTTCCCAGTAGTAGTTGATACATTTAATTCTTCTAGGTAATGCTTCTGTTTGATTTTGCAGCTGATGGACTTCAGGGAAGTAGTTTCTAAGATGCTGGGCTTGAATGTGACCAATCTTGCACTTCCTGACTATGAAATCATCAAGTGTCTTGAACGACTGATCCACTCACATCAGCACCACTTTGTCACCTGTGCCTGCTTCAAAGATGTGATCTCTGGGCGAGACAGGCACCAGCAAGACCACTTAAAACCTCTTCATTGAATGCAGCATAACTTTTGAGGGAGGTGGAGCTAAAAGATGGCACATAACTCATAATTTTACAAATTCCCCATGCCTTTGAATTTTGATCACTATGGAAATATTGAGGAGCTCTGGTGGCATGCCTAAGGCACTTGACTGCTAACCAGAAGGCTGGTGGTTCAAACCCACCAGCCACTCCTTGGAAGGAAGGTTGGTCAATCTACTTCTGTAGTGATACCACCTCGGAAACCCAAGGAGGGGTCGCTATGAGTCGGGTCCGACTCGACGGCAAATAACAACAACATGGGAATGTTGTTTAGTTTCATGATATAGTGAGAGTACATCTTGGCAAAAATAAATAAATAATAAAAAAAGGTCCCCCAAAGGTGCTACTCTTAAATCAATGTTCAGCACTAAAAACATCTATTACCATATATTTTCTAGATTGCTAGACCATTGGGACCCAGAAGATTTTCACTAGCTTATTCTAGATAACTCGATAATATTTAAATTGGGAAGTGAGAGTAGGAATTTAACATTTATGAGGCCCCTATTATGAGTCACGGCATTTACTACCCAATTTTGTTTGCATTATAACCATTGGGGAAGCTCTAGTGTTTTTTCATTTGGTAACGTCTATGGGGCTCAGAAAGGAGCTCTGGTGGCTCAGTGCCTAAGGCATCTGACTGCTAGCCAGAAGACTGGCAGTTCAAACCCACCAGCCACTCTATGGAAGGAAGATGGGGCAGTCTACTTCCATAAAGATTTGCCACCTTGGAAACCCAATGGAGGTTGCTATGAGTCTGAATTGACTTGATGGCAGTGGGGTTTATGGCGTTCAGAGGGTGGTATCTATCCTAGGTTCCTGCTGGTTGGTGAGAACTGGGTATACAATGTGTCTTCTCTGTGCCAAAGGCCATGGAGTAGAAAGACTACTCCACAGTCCTACAGTTTCTCCTGAATCCCTGAGATTCTGATGGAAATTTCTTGTGTAAAGGAAGGAAAACATACCAGTAATCAAGAATTTAAGTCCAAGATCTATGTGTCTAAGATACATTAACAAGCAATAATAAAAGAAAAACAAACCAAGTTGCTTTCGAGTTGATTCTTTCTCATGGCTACCCATGTGTGTCAGAATAGAACTGGGTTCCATAGGGTTTTCTTTTTTAATTGTGATTTGGATGCAAGTTTACAGAGCAAATTGATTTGCCATTCAGCAGCCCATACCCATTGTGTTTGTAACAATTACTGCAATTCCAACACTGTAGCAGCATTCTCCCACTTCCTCCTTGCACTCACCCTTCTCTTCATCCTTCCATCCCATCCTCTCCCACCTTCCTATCTCTGTTGTTGTTATTTCCTGTCTCTTTTCCTGGGCAAATGCTGACCTTTATGTGCTTGATTGTTCTAATGAGTGCATACATTCTTGATATTACTGTTCACCTTATAGACCTGTCTATCATTTGCCTGAACTTGAGTCATGGTGGTTAAATTCAGTTCCTAGTTAGAAGGGTGTCTTAGGGGCATAGTCTTGGGTGTTCTGCCAGTCTTCATCAGACCAGTAAGCCTGGTCTTTGTCATGATTTCGAATTTTGTTCCACATTTCTCCCCACTCTATTTGGATCCTCTTACTGTGTGTTCCCTTTCAGAGTGGTCAGCTCTGGTAGCTGGGCACCATCTAGGTTTCTGGTCTCAGAGTTGTGGAGGTTGAGGTTCATGTGCTCCATTAATCCTTTGGACTTTTCCTAGCATCTTTCATTTTCTTCACTCTTTTTTGCTCCAGATGGGGGAGGCAGCAATAGTTGCACCTCAGATGACCACTCACAAAGTTTCAAGACTCCTTAGGGTTTTCAGTGGCTGATCTTTTAGAAGTAGATCCTTTTTTTCTGAGGCATCTTTGGGAGGACTTGAGCCTCCAGCCTTTTGCTTAGCAGCCAAGTGTGTTAACCATTTGTCCCTCATCCCAACCTGAAGTGCTAAGAGAAAATTTCCTGTTTTAAATGTTTAATCAGGTTATCCAGTGATGATTTTTAATGTTTGAACAGGGTTGCTCTCAGCACTTTAAAAATGATACTCTCCCCCCTCAGAATCAGGATTTTATTATGAATCTCAAATTTCCATCACTGTCTCCTTTTTTTAAAAAAAAATTATGGTGAAAACAGAACATACAATTTTCCATTTTAACCATTTTTAAGTATACAATTCAGTTCTGCCTTCCTTTATTATATTTTGTAAATGTTTTTCAGGAAACCGCATTCTTACCTTCACAGAGAAAACTGTATTACTATTTTGGGTAATTTATCTTTTATTTTTTTAGGGGTCCTTTAGTGGTGCCAAAGATTATTTGACTATTTTGCTTCAGATGGGGGAGCAAAATAGTCTTCCCAGTTGACTATATAGACTCTTGATTATTAACCAAAAAGTTGGTGTTTGGAGCCCAGCCAGAGGTGCCTTGGAAGAAAGAACTTCCACCTGCTTCCAGAAGGTCACAGGCTTGAAAACCCTAAAGAGCACAGCTCTACTCAGCACACATGAGATTGCCATGAGTCGGAGTCAGCGCTACAGGCACTGGTTTGGTTTTATTTATCTTCTTTCTGCCATATGAAATGTGTACATGTGTTTAAGGTCCTGAAAGGAGCAACCCAAACAAACACATACCAAACCCACTGTCATGGAGTCAATTCTGACTTACAGTGACCCCCACTGGGTTTCTGAGGTAAGTAGATTGCCCCATCTTCCTTCTGCAGAGTGGCTGGTGGGTTTGAACCACCAACATTCTAGTTAACAGTCAAATGCCTTAGGCACTGTGCCACCAGAGTGCCTTGAAAGAAATAATAGTGCCTAATTAAAGGACAATCCAGCTTGCACCTCTGGAAGTTCTTTGTCAATATACTGCTGCAACCGTTTTTGAATTATCCTCAGTAAGATCTTACTTGCGTGCGATAGTAACAACTCAAAAGCATCAACTCCTCTTCGATCTTCCTTATTCATTGTCCAGCTCTCAGATGCATACAAGACAATTGGAAATATCATGGCTTGTGTCAGACACACCTTAGTCCTCAAGGAGACATCCTTGCTCCTCAGCATTTGAAACAATTCCTTCATAGTTGACCTTCCCAGTGCTACACGTCAGCTAATGTCCTGCCTGCTGCTTCCATTGGCATTGATTGTAGAACCAAGCAACATGAATTCTTTGACAACCTCAATCTTCTCTCCGTTTATTGTGATGCTGCTCAGTGGTCCACTTGTGAGGATTTTTGTTTTCTTTATATTGAGATGTAATCCATACTGCAGACTGTATTCTTCAACCTTCATCAGTAAGTGCCTCAAGTCATCCTCA